TTGTTTGCAGACAATAGTTTGTATTTTAATTGTTTCACTTCCTTAAACATTATGCAACAGCTAAATCTGCCAATTGCAGGTCTTTCTTTAGGCCAGAAATGTTATATAAATTATTAATTAGACATTAATTAACTTATCCAGACCATAATCAACTCTCGATGTTTACTGGATTAGAATCCTATCTGCTACACAACACCCATTGATAATTAAATCCAAAAATGGATAATCGAGACTATGTTTTTTATTGTATCGACTTTAGTAATGATGATCTAGGCTAGGCCAATCGCTAAATTCTCGGTTCAGAGTGGATCAGCTAATTGCCTTTATATTATGTAGTTTTTAACTATTATAGTGAGAACTGCCAGTTCCTTATCTAATCTCCCATAATGTATCTTTAATTTATTCACAAATTCTTATTGGCTTCAGAGCTTAATAATTGTGTTAGCTGATTGAATAATATGATTGACATGTTGTGGGATGATTTAAGCCCCGCCCATGACATTATTTGATTGGTTAGCAGTGATTGTTTCCAGGAAGTATTATATCGGAGGTAATTTAATACCAAATTCTTGTATGACTTATAAAGTCAGTTCTTATAGCTTTATAAAACAGTTCTTATAGCTTATGGAATCATTTCTTATGTAGCTTATAAAATCATTTCATATGTAGCTTATAAAATCATTTCTTATGTAGCTTATAAAGTCAGTTCTTATAACTTTTTAAATTAATGCTTATGCTTATGGAATTATTTCTTATGTAGGTTAAAAAATCAGTTCTTATGAAGATTAAGAAATTATGGATGATGAAAAATACCTAGTCCTACTACCAAGTTGAAAATTATACAAGTTGAGTTTCAGAAAGATCTCTACTGTTGTCAAAGCACCATGGGTTACAGGTCGGCTGCATGTGCCAGTCATGACCACTTGATACAAATAATGACCAAAACATCTCTGGGCCCATCGGTCAATTTACACACTGTAAAACTGGCATATTTTTCTAAACCATATTTTCGGAAATGCCCAGAAAGACCTTCGCCATATAATTCTACGGACTGTACAGAATATTGCACAGAAATTTATACACCCTTGTCACTATTGATAGACTCTTGCTTGCTTTAATGGTGGGACAAACATGAAAGTCTTGTAAACAAACGGGGGCTGTAGGGTATCAAATTTCTGAAAATAAATGGCCACTTGCAATCTTTATTTTATAAACAATATATGAGTGTTCCTTGCAGGAATTTATATACGGCACTAACTAGATAATCATTTTTTGTCTAGATTTTATTTTTTTTAAAAAACCAAAACAAACTTGTGTATAGGACTGTATAGGTTGTTATCTTTAATGGTTTTAGGAGGAGAACTGCACACTTAAATACAAACAGAGGAGACAATACATATTAAGATGTGTTAGCTTATTGTTTTGTTGTCATGTTTTTTGTATTTTCTGTTTTGGAAGTATTCATACTAATTAAGTGCTAGAAATAAAATTCAATCTGTGATGTGATGCTAAATATTATTATGTGAATGATTGTATTGGTCTTGTTAATGGTGGCTACTGTATATTTTTTATATCCAGAATTATTATCAATTATCAAAGCTTTATAGTGTGGCATTTTTATGAATTGTTACGAATAAATAACTAAGATAGAAAATGTTTCTTGTGGAGGCTTGAATGGGAGGGACTTGACAGGGCCAGATACATCAAGGGGCATGCTACATCAAGGGTTATTATTCAAGTAACACATGGACCCAGATCTAGGGTCTGCCAAAAGCACGCTAGTCTTTTGGATAAACAATATCGAAATCGATATTTGGCCTCGGTTGTACGTGGCAATGAGTAGGGTCGCCTGTCCAACCTGGTGGGCTTTTTCCGGGTTCACCGGTTTCCTCCCACGGGAAAAGGCTCCTACTGCTGGCGAATTATTGAAACAAAATTGAACCATATGTTAGTCCCAAAACGACCTAGTTTGCGTCGAGTGGACGTTAAACTCAATTTTTCTCTCTTTATCCCCCACCATTTGGATATATTATTTAGTATTTCTTGCATAATAAAAATATCACCCTTTCAGAATACCTCAACTATGCTCTTGTGAACATATTACATTTATGTATTGTTATAAGACAACACCGTTTGGATTAAAAAATGCTTAGCTCAGCTTTCAACGTATTGTGGTTTGTATCTATGCAAATCGGAATCATTTACACTGTAACCCGGGTATTTTTTAATCTTGTGTATTTATTTCACATTCTCTCAATATCAAATCGTAAAATTTGTAAATAAAGTATTCTAAAATCACCCAAAAGTTTTGATGTTTTAAATGATTTTCCAAATTTTCAAACAAATATTTGATATTGAATGAATGTCAAAGAAATTATAACATTATAATTTGTAATACCTTTTGATTTTACCTTGGGATTATAAATATCTCACTTTCAGATAAACAAAAACCGTTTTCATGGTTAAACATATAGTAATAAAAAGAAAGTCCACCACGTTTGGTTTAAAGGCTCAATACCACTCTTGTTGTAACAGAATAATATGTCCCAATCTTTATTCTGGTCAACAAATTGTACTATTTTAGAATATTTCAATTAATTGATGATACAAATTTCATCTTAACACACCTTATTTAAAAATTTTGAAAAATTCAACATAATGGTTTGAAACGTCTAACAAACCTTTTCAAATGAAACTTCGATTTAAAAATATTTTCGAACCCTCTGGACAAGTAAAATAGGATGTAATGGATAATTTACACAACAGGTAGGACACTTAAACATCTAGTACTTAGATAGAGATATTATTTATTTTTTGGAGCTTTCAAGCCAGCAAGAGTGTTATTGTCCCTTTAAGTAGTGCACCCACTACTTATAACATTATAATTTGTAATACCTTTTGACCAAATAATGCTCCTTCCAACTATCAGCATTTTGTGGGTTGTTTCTATGCACGTCAGAACCCACCAAAATGTACAAATCCCTGATATATATTAACTCCCAGAAAACAAACATCATGGCTTCCACTATGTTGCAAAATCACTTTGCATGTAAATATTAATTTTTGTGCTTGTCTGGAGGTCGCGTGTTCGATCCCTGCATCTAGATTTTCCGGCGTGGTTCCCCCTTGTCGGTGATGCAGGACTGAGGGCCTGACAAGGTCAGCTGTCTAGTCGTTTGGATGGGAAACAAAACTGAGGTTCTGTATACACATTGGCGTGCACGTAAATGATCCATTGAGAGTTGGAATTCGATATAAGAGTAGGCGATAGTTCCGCTTCCCGAGCAAAATTTCCGTCATAGCACACAGTATGCCCGTCTTGATTATGGTGTAGAAATGGGGGATCCTACTATTCGCCCAAAATACTGCAGAAAAAGAAAAATATGCTATAGATATGCATATTCTAAACGCCGTAATCAATATTTGAATAAATTCATAAACAAACACGAAAAACGCTCGATGGTTCTTGACAGTGATTAGTAAGACTGGTGTTGTCAGGTTTTTAAAAATAAAAATGAAATGAAATTGGGTTTAACAACAGTGTGCTATGAGGGAAATTTTGCCCGGGCAGCGGCACTATCGCCTACTCTTATATCGAATTCTAACTGCCAAGGGATCTTTTACGTGCATTCCAATGTATACACGGGGCCTCGGTTTTTCGACTCATCCAAATGACTAGACAGCTAAAGTAATTGATAGTATTTTATGAAATTACATTTCCGCGTATTATAATTATGGGTTATAAACATGCGATGACCAGAATGTCTGGGCCCAACCTCGTGGGTTGTCTCCGGTTTCCTCCCACTGCTAAAGATACCCACGCGTAAGCGAATAGTCTTTTATCAAAATGTCAAAGTGGAATCAAAACGTGGAACATCTTAGATTATCCCACTGGCAAGACTTATCAGATGTCAAAGTTCATTCAAATAGATAGTCACAACCATGGTCTATAAAAGTATTTTCAGCAAGTAAGCAATTAGTTTCAGTTTAATATTCCCCAAAATAACATGTGGTGTGCCGCAGGGTTCTGTTCTAGGGCGAATCACATCCTAACACCATGATAGTGTTACACTTGATTAAGTCAAACAGGCAGGTCGTATCTTGTCATTTTTTGACAAAGTCGTAGTTTAGCAAATCCAAGGTCTAAAAGATAGGCACCGGGGTTATCTTGTCATACCTTGACAAAGTCGTAGTTTGACTTTCAGTTTAACAAAGGGGGGTTGGATGGCTGAATGGTTAGCGTGCGCGCGCTGTATCATAAAGTCTGTTATTGAGTCGACTGGTGTGGTTTCGAATCCCCGGTTGTACGTGACAAGGAGTAGGGTCGCCTGTCCAACCTCGTGGGTTTTCTCAGGGTCCTCCGGTTTCCTCCCACTGCTAAAGATACCCACGCGTAAGCGAATAATTGAAATAAAATTGTTGAACCATATGTTAATTCCGAAATGACTTATTTTGTGTCGACTGGACGTTAAACCCCCATACCCCTCTCTCTCTCTCTCTCTCTCTCTCTCAATATTGGACGTTGAGAGCTGAGCCATCTCTCTCTCTCTCTCTCGTCTGGGGTTCAAGTACGTGGGCCAAAACAACACCAATAAGAGAGAGAGGGAGAGAGAGAGAGAGAAAGAGAAATGGGTTTAACGTCCACTCGACACAAACTAGGTCATTTCGGGACTAACATATGGTTTAATTTTATTTCAATAATTCGCTTGCGCGTAGGGGTCTTTAGCAGTGGGATGAAACCGGAGGACCCGGAGAAAACCCACGAGGTTGGACAGGCGACCCTACTCCTTGTCACGTACAACCGGGGATTCGAAACCACGCCAGTCGACTCAATGACAGACTTTATGATACAGCGCGCGCACGCTAACCATTCAGCCATCCAACCCCCCGTACACCAATAATAACAAGGAAATCTGGTAAGTGAGTTTTTTTTATATGTACCGAAATGTAGTGATTGTGTGTTATACATAATAACATAAATACCGATTCAAAAACAAAGTCTAAGGTCTGGGTTCATCAGGAGAATCCAGATGTTTAATCAGTCTCAACCAAAACATATCAACACCCTGCTCACTGCCATCCCATGGTATATACTCCTCCACATTTAATACTCTGTGAATAGTCTTGGTGACGTTCACAACTTTTAATTCCTCTAAAAGAATCACGATCATCAAGTCCCTTCTTTCATTTAAAACACGTTCGTAAGCTAAGCTGGTTTCGAACTCACAATAATGATCAGCTGCAAATGTATCAGATAGAAACAAGATGACCCTTCTGCTGGCATCCATATTCTCTATTATCCCATCGATCTTATTTCCAATCCCATCTCTTTGTGGGATAAAAACACGGAGATTCAACTCGCCTTCTAATCGTGGTAATATATTCTCTAAAATAAAATCTACGTCTTCTTCACTGCAGCTTAGATAAATATCAAAGCGATAGTCGCATCCGTCGTGGACGAGTCTTTGAAATCGGATGTGGTAGTAACGCAGCATGTAAACGAAGTACCGAAGATGCCAGCGATATCGATAAACCATGGATATGGTGAATATTAAGAGCAGTAATCCCACTGATACTGATGTTATGATCAGACTGATGACTGGCGTCAGTAAACAATAACGATCACTTATGGGCGTTTTAATAACCATCCTCCCCTCCCATGCACTTGGAGCTGAACACAGGTACCCTTTCGGGAAATTTTTGAACTTATTAGTCGCGTACTTGGTCTTCAGTAATTTTGAAAACCAAAGTAAGTTTTCACACGAACAGGAGTAGGGATTATAAGATAAATCCACCGTTGACAGAGATTGAATTCTTCCGGCAGGAAACGAGCTACTGTGGATGGTGTCAATTTGATTGGAAGCCATTATTAATTTTCTTAACGAAGTTAAATTACTGAAATATTCCCTTTTCCACCAGGAAATCTGATTGTGGCTTACATCAAGTGTCTCCAGCTGATTCATTACCTTTGGTATAACAGTAGGTAAAAACCCAATACCTGTCCCGGAAAGATTCAGTTCTTTTAAATTCGTCAATCCTGCTAAGAGCCCATCGAAGTAGGTTTCTGTTTTGTATTCAAAACTACTTTTAGACAAGTCCAATGTTTCTAACTTATTGCAGGAATCAAAGGCCTTCATGGACAAGTGTGGTGCATGGATATCGTAGATACCCAAATGCAAATGAATTATACTGGGACTATTAAATGCATATTCCCTTATTCGAAATGACGAGGCATAATTATTTCTCATAAAAATGGTGTGCAGTCTAGGTAGTCTAGCAAATGTATAAGGTTCTAAGACAATGAGTGGATTAAACGAAATTGAAAATAGTTGAAGCGACGTCATACAATCTAATTCAGCTGCATTGAAAAATCTGATAAAATTACCATCCATGAACAGCCTCTTAATATACGGAAACGTTGTTCGGTTACACTTACAGAACGGAGGGAATTTAACCAAAGCGTTTTCTGACAACCACAACGTTGTCAAGTTAGACGTACCTTCCAACACCGTTGCTGTAATCCAACAACCTTCTAAACTGAGATTTCGCAGATGTTTAAGGGGTGAAAAGTCATCTATGTTGTATGTATCAATGTAGGTTCTGTCCATCTTTATTTTCTGCACTGGACTATTGCTCATCCCTAAAAATATATTACTTCCACTGAAGGTACCGTGTATATATACCGTATACAAGACAAGTTGCAAGAGTTTCCTACTTGTCACACTGGTTAAACATTTTTTTAGCGTAGTTGTTAGGGTTTTTTCATGGGATATGTGAAGTGTTTGAAGTTTCGATAACTTACTGAACGCACCTGTTTCACAGTATTTTAAATGGTTTCCTCCCAGATATAGATGTGTCAAAGATGTGACATTATGAAATGTAGATCCATTAATAACCGGTAAAAGGTTACAAATAAAATGTAATATTGTGATATTATGTGGTAGCTGTGGAATATATGATAATGATGGTTTATACCCGCATACTGCAATAGATCCATTGCATAAGCACAGACCATCTCCACATGGATGACTCTTATTCTTATTCAAAGGCATCCTAATTTTGCAGCGTTTTTTATCAACACTTTGTCCAATCCTGATGTCAAGATTTCCCGTGTCGAAAGACCCTCTTCGTCTGTTGAATCCATTTCTAGACATCTTGGTTTTCTCGGAAGTTCGATCAGGATGAGAATGGGCTCCCCGGATGACAGAATCAGCAATCAGAACAGATAGAACAATGTTATAGAACTTCATCTTATATCCTCTGTTTTAGTTTAATTATGAATCCTGACTAAATCACAATCCAAGAACTTTGAGTACAGAAAAATTCTGTTTCGATGACTGCTACGTTTAAGCACAATTAGACATTACAAATAAACATTTGAACACGCTTGTTTCATCTGAAATTAGTGTAATACGTCAAACAGTACAGGCTGCAGACAAACACATTCAATGCATTTGTAAGCTTATGTACCTTTCTAAGTCCTTTTCGAAATGAAATGAAATGAAATCGGGTATAACGTCCTACTGTTCTGCTCCTATGCTGGGCTAATGAAGTCCTTCTCGGCGAAATCTTGCACGGAAAACATTTCCGTATCCCATACATAGACATGGGCGTTATTATGTGACGTGATTTATGATCAAATCGATGTCTCGTTTAAACTTCCATACCTTAAATGATTTAGGCACATAAACAGTCAGCATTTCATCTTTCTAATGGTTACTTAAAGGGTGGAAGGCTCCATTTTTTTTTTTTTTTTTTTTTTGAAACCTTGAAATTTGACAAAAATGGTTCTAAAAGCACAATTAATGTGACTAATGTACAAGGATAGAAAATATGGTAATTTCTAATCAATTATGTTCGGTGAAATACCTGAAAAGTTCATATTGAACGGCAGTCGTTTACGCCTGCTTAATGCATTCTATACGTTTTTTAAATTATAATTTTGTCGTACACGACTCGTGTACTGAATATAAAATTTTAATTGTGACTTAAATATTGGATATTAGGATCGTATAGTTTCACGACATACTGATTGAAATTAATCCCCGGCTTGTTTTCAGATCCAACAATTATATAGTGTACGATTATAATATGTAAATATTTATTGAATAAATAGTGTCAGAAAAAACAAATTGATCAATATTAAATTCTAATTCGGTTTTTTTTTTAATTTCGAATATATATTATGGAAAATATTGAGTTAGAGACTTAACTCCTTTAAATCTATCCTTTGACTGGTAATAAGCCTCGACTCAGATAAGGAAGTTTTGTAACGGACAATAACAAAAGGCTTATTTTGTCTAATCACACTAAATCACTTTTTAATATGATTCTAAAACTTGGACACTCGTGTTACATTCATATTTGAATTTTAATGTGTTAGGACAGTAAAGCAAATCTTCCTGGTTGCGTCAATACGATTTCACTTTCGAGGCAACGTAATGTGCCCTACATAAATCTCACATCGTTTTGAATAAAAGGGAACGCCTTCCAAATTTCAAATGCCCTACATAAATCTCACATCGTTTGACTTAAAGGGCTCCCTTCCAAATTTCAAATGCCCTACATAAATCTCACATCGTTTGACTTAAAGGACGCCCCTTCCGAATTTCAAAGCCTTCTGATTGTGCCCATGCGTGTTTTGTTGCAGGAACTTTTTAAGTCTTAGTGAAATAAAAGCTATTTTTTTAATGTTAAAAATTAAGTGGTTATTGCAACTGGTTATCGTAAGGGCCCGTGAGCATGTATGTCCCAATAATATCCTGTTGGGGCATGATATCAGAATCTGTATATTTCTTTAAATCGTTATTTGTACTATATAAACTATAGGGGTTGTTTTAGTTCTATGAAAGGTGTTCTGTTTAATATATTGAAGTGGTTAAACAAATGGGTGACAACGAGAACTTGGTATGAAGTAGGAATATAACCCTTTTCTTACTTGGGCTTTACCCCCTTTTAACACCATTACTTTTCTCTAAAGAGACATAAACCTGTAGAACCTTTCTTAGATAATGGAGATATTTTGCAAGATTCAACTTTCTTAGACTAACTCACAGACAGTTCCTGTCACCACCAATTTCTGGAAGTAGGTTACTGGTGTCCAGCCATCTCGTGCATAGATTAGTCCAAGTAAAACAATTTACAAACATTTACCCAAAAAAGGTAATTGCCCCGTTCTAATAGCCGACCTATCTAAACGTTTGATATAAATTGTTTTAGACATCACAGACCGGTCCTAGAGGGGCGTTTAGCTGCCTCGACTAAGGGTCCGTGATTCAGACATCATGTAGGGTTCTTAGAAGGGCTTATTTACAGCCTCTGACCCTAGGCTAGGGTGAAGACATCATGGTTCCCAGAGGACGTACTCGAGGTCGGGATAGAGACAATATGAGAGAGAGAGAGAGAGAGAGAGGGGGGATGGGGTTTAACGTCCACTCGACACAAACCAGGTCATTTCGGGACGAACATATGGTTTAATTTTATTTCAATAATTCGCTTGCGCGTAGGGGTCTTTAGCAGTGGGAGGAAACCGGAGGACCCGGAGAAAACTCACGAGGTTGGACAGGCGACCCTATTCCTTGTCACTTACAACCGGGGAATCGAAACCCCGCCAGTTGACTCAATGGCAGACCGTATGATACAGCGCGCGTGTGCTAACCATTCGGCCATCCAACCCCCCAGAGACAATATGTAGTGTTTCAGCCGTTAGGTCTGAGTTCTAGGCTTGTTATTATAATTCATAACGTACTATCATAGATGTTGTAGTTTCCTGTAAACATTGCTTTAACAACACAGTGTTCTAAAAACTTAATCTGTTCCTTTAATATAAATTAGCAGTATTAATTACCACTTTTCACCTTTTTGATTGGATTTGCCGACATGAACATATCTTGAGCCTTTTGAAAACTATTTTCAGAGAGAGAGGGAGTAATTGGCGTAAAGAGACAATCCCATTTTTCTTGGTAACCTTTGAAATATTTAATATTAAATAAAAGTCAATAGCGACATAAATTCATGAATTAGAAATGTCCTTTATTGCATTTGTATATTTATTGCATCAATTTCCCTATTTGGGTGAAATGATTCATACACAATATTCAATATATTATGTTAACAAACTAAATCTCTATAGAACTTACATTACTTTCCTGTCTGAGTCAAGTGAGTTGGATGGCCGAATAGTTAACGCTGTGCGTTGTATCATAAAGGCTGTCATTTAGTCAACTGGTGTGGTTTCGAATCCCGGGTTGTACGTGTCAAGGAGCAGGGTCGTGTGTTTTCTCCAGGTCCTTCGGTTTCCTCCCACTGCTAAAGACCTTTTGAAATAAAATTGAACCATATGTTAGTCCTTAAATGACCTAGTTTTTGTCAAGTGAACGTTAAACTCTCATTAAACTAGGTCATTTCGGGATTAACACATGGTTCAATTTTATTTGAACAATTCGCTTCCGCGTAGGGTTTTTTAGCAGTGGGAGGAAACCAGGGGACCCGAAGAAGAACCCACGAGGGTGGACAGGCGACCCTAGTTCCTGTCACGTACAACCGGGGAAACCAAACCACGCCATACAGGGGGGTTGGATGGCTGAATGGTTAGCGTGCGCGCGCTGTATCATAAAGTCTGAGTCGACTGGCGTGGTTTCGAATCCCCGGTTGTACGTGGCAAGGAGTAGGGTCGCCTGTCCAACTTCGTGGGTTTTCTCCGGGTCCTCCGGTTTCCTCCCACTGCTAAAGACCCCTATGCGCAAGCGAATTATTGAAATAAAATTAAATAAAATTAAACCATATGTTAGTCCCGAAATGACCTAGTTGTGTCGAGTGGACGTTAAACCCCATTTCTCTCTCTCTCTCTCTCTCCACGTCATACATCTCTCTCTCTCTCACTCTCTCTCTCTCACACACACTTCCTTATCTGAGTCAAGGTTTATGATCATGAGGTTATACGAGATTCATCTTAGTTTCGGTGCATTCTAGGTTTCGATGTGCACCATAATCATACTTCATGTATCGATGTTTAAAATAAATGAAATGGTGGTTTAACGTCCTACTTTTCTGCACCGGCCGGGCTAATGAAGACGGACATATGCCATAAAGTGTGCTATGAGAGAAATTTTGTCCTGGCAGCGGCTCTACGGCCTAGTCTTACACATAACTCCAACCGTCATGGGTTCTTTTATGTGCACGCCAACGTGTATGTTTTACCTCGGTTTTTCGCTCGATCCGAACGACTAGACAGGGGGCACAACGCCGGACAATTCCGTGAAATTTTTCTCGGCCAACACCGTGATCGAACCCGATTAACTCCCTTAATCACAATCTGATTAAAACACAGATCCTATTTCGTTTCGTTTTTTATTGTTTAAAATTTCGTTTTACCTGTGAGGGATTAGGCAATGGAACGGTCTGTTGCGGCGAGTTCTTGGCGTGCGATTCACGGAACTATTGGTATTCTACTAGAAACATCAACGCTGATAGGTTAATTAAATTTCTGACGTCAAAGTTTTAAAAACCGCTCGTATGACCCCTGACGCGACCTCCCACTACAACTGGTCAGATGTAGTGTAGACGATCGTAAGTATAAAAAAAAACGAAACGAAATATAGATCTGTATTATAATCAGATTGCCTTAATCAGGGGGATCACGTGGCTAAGTGGGTAAGACGCTGGCTCGCTAGCCTGGAGGTCGGGTGTTCGATCCCTGCATTAGCCGAGAAAGTTCATCCCGATTTTCCGGCGTGGTTTCCCCTTGTCAGTGATTCAGGATGGAGGGCATGACAAGGACAGCTGTCTAGTCGTTCGGATGGGACGAAAAACCGAGGTCCCGTGTACACATTGGCGTTCACGTAAAAGATTCCTTGGCAGTTGAATTCGATATAAAAGTAGGCCGTGGTGCCGCTGCCCGGGCAAAATTTCCCTCATAGCACATTGTATGGCGTATGCCCGTCTTCATTAGCCCAGTTTAGGATCAGAACAGTAGGGCGTTAAATCCCATTTCATTTCATTCCATTTCATTGCCTTAATTAGAGAATTCATTATAAGTCCGGTTACATAATCGCAACTGCAAATTATGTAATTTTGTACGCAAAAGGTGTAGGTAAAAACATTTGGGGTACATAAAAATCTGATAGGCATATAGGGGCCAGTGATGCAGGACGGAGGGCCTGACGAAAAACCGAGGTCCCGTGTATATATTGGAATGCACGTAAAAAATCCTTTGGCAGTTGGAATTCGATAGAAGGCGATAGTGCCGCTGCCCGGGCAAAATTTCCCTCATAGCACACTGTATGGCGTATGCCCGTCTTCATTAGCCCAGCATAGGAGCAGAACAGTAGGACGTTAAACCCCATTTCATTTCATTTCATTTCCTTTCTTTGCCACGTACATATGACGGCCAGTGTCTAACCCAATCAATATCTAAGCCATCCGGCATGGGAATAAATGTCTAAATAATAATTTATACAACATTTGAAGTCAAAAAACAGACCCCGTAATTCAAATGAAATGAAATGAAATGAAATGGGGTTTAACGGCCTACTGTTCTGTTCCGACTGGGCCCCGTAATAGGCAGGTTTAGCTTTTGTGTTACATCGTTTCGAAATATTAAGCGAATTAACTTGTTTACTAATTTGAAGTGAAACACGGATTACTTTTAATGTCCACTCAACACAAACGAGGTCATTTCGGGACTAACATATGGTACAATTTCGTAGCTGTCTTTACCAGTGGGAGGAAACCGGATGTCCCGGAGAAAACCCACGAGGTTAGGCAGGCGACCTTACACTTATGTTTACCATACAATGTTTTCTGTACAATGGTTAATCGAGAGAGAGAGAAAAATGGGGTTTAACAACCAACACGGTTCAATTTTATTTCAAAATAAAATGAAATGGGTTATAAGTATAACGTCCTACTGGGCTAATGAAGATGGCAATTTTATTTCAAAAATTCGCTTGAGCGTAGGGATCTTTACCAATGGGAGGAAACCGAAGGACCCGGAGAAAACCCACGAGGTTAGGCAGGCGACCCTACTCCTTATCGCGTACAAGTCAATATAAATTGTATAAAGATGGTATTCATATAAGTATATGAATACTTTGATGTCACAAGACGTATTTTTGATTTTAATTTCTTATCAATTTTAAAGTAGCTAAGTCTCTAACTCAATATCATCCAAAATCTTTGACATTGAAAACACAAATTATTTGTCAGTTTAAATCAACATTGATGTTGTGATCTTACCGGGAAAAGACGGGCTTCTGATATCCGATTTTTAAGACAAAATAAACATTTTATCATTGGTACACGAATCGTGTACCATAATGTGTTTCAGCGCCATTTGTAACAAGGGATTCGAAGAACGAGGCTAGACATATTCCACAAGCCATGTCAAGCGGTTACGCCATATTCTTATCCGGACAGCATACACAATAAATACTATCAGTGTAAACTGGAATAACCAGACGCTAGAGATTACCATTCAATTGAGACTTCTGGCATATTTCGCCGAACATAATTGATTTGAAATTAGAGTAAAAATGGAAACGATTAAATGATAATCGGTTTATATACATTCATATTTCATTATTATATGCGTTGCTACTCATTAGTGTCAATTTCGAGGTCCCAAATATTAGCGATTTAGCCACTTTTAATCATGTTTTAAAATAGCACATATTTTTTCTTTCATTTGTTATAAATAATGTGTGTATAACTTATTTAATTAATATGATTTCTTCCCCATTATTTTATAATATGTACATAGTAGATCTATTTATTATATTATACATGTATATTTTATATTCCTTTTATGAGGAATGCCATAAAACCCCATTTCATTTTTATGAGGAGAGGGGTTTATATGTTTTCTTCCCTATTATTTTAGAATATGTACATAGTAGATCTATTTATTATATTATGTATTTTATATTCCTTTTATGAGGAGTGCCATAAAACCACATTTCATTTCATTTTTATTAAGAGAGGGGTGATATAGGCTGCTATGCCTGTTCCCCAATCCGTTTTCCGTTCCATTTAAAAAAAAATAGTGTTTACGTTTACCAATAAAAAAAAAAAAAAAAAAATATAAGTGCAAGTGATAATTGAGAAAAGCAATGGAGCGAACAGACAAGCCGAAAGTTATCCAAACACTTGACTCGGGTTACTGGCAGCGTATTGATGCCATCAGGTTACCAGAGTAATAATAGACACGAAATCAGGAATCAGGATGATATAGCAGACGACCAGCGGAAAGATAAAACGAAAGAAAGGCGGGAATTATATCTCACGTTATGTTTTTTTGGCAGACGGTTTCTTGTCTGTGTACTGGTATCGGTTCACGCCGTTCATTGAAGCCAACCAAGATAGATACAGGAGGTTGGGGAAGTCGAGCACCTGCTTACGGTCAGTATCAGTCTTCTTTTGTAGCAAAACATTTTTCTATTTTATAAAATTCACCAATATAAGCCAGAACAATGCAATAATGGAAAATCAGTTAGTAATTTATTTAAGCGACGGTTGGGTTTAAGGCATTGATATGGGTACCCTGTCGCTTTGAACCTCTTTAAATTTAATAACATTGTTTTATGGTATGACATTTTGCCCAGATAGCGGCGCTACGATCTACTCTTATATCGAATTCTAACTGTTATGGATTCCTTTACGTGCACACGGGGTTTCGATTGTTCGTCCCACCCAAAGAGACGCTGCCCCTTGTTGTTCTTAGTGTTTAACGTCCGCTTCCACCGTAGGTATCGCAGACAAATTATCTTAGCGCACGCGCATGGGTCTTTCCTGTGGGAGGAAACCGGAGTACCCGGAGTAAACCCACGAGGTTGAGAAGGCGCCCCTATCTCCAAGCCACATACGCTCACACCAGGAATCGAAACCACAAGCCAGAGGTGATCGGCCAGCTAAAGGTCAAAGCGTGACACTCTAGACCACTAGCCCCCCTCCTACGCTGCCCCTTGCCAACATTCCGTTTATAACCACTGGCAGGGGTTGGAAGGGGACTTGCCGGACAATCCCGAGAACCTTTCTCGGCAAACACCGGGACAATGCATAGATGTGGCGTGCATGGGGAGTGAGATGCGGTTTATATCTGTAATATACTAGGAAGCCGCGGTGACTCAGTGAGTAAGATGTTGGCTCACCGTGGTGGCTCAGTGAAGAGGAGATTGGGTCGCCGTGTGGTGGCTTAGTGAGTAAAAGGTTGGCTCGCGGTTGCTCAGTGAGTAATGCACTGGACACATTAGCCGAATCGTTCGGCCGAATCGATCGGCCGAATCAATCGGCGCCGAATTTTATTCGGCCGAATGGGTGGACACATTAGCCGAATGCCTCGCCCAATTCAACCTGTCGATTGCATCACCTTTCACGTCACATTATTAAACATGGCGGCGTCTATGTCTTCAATCTATCACGTGACTTCTCGATATGAGTGGTGATTGGCTAATGAATTTTATATTCGGCCGAATGCTTCGGCGAAGCGGACACACCAGGCGAATATAATTCGGCCGAATAATATATCAAACCTGTTTGATTCGGGCGAATCATTCGGCCGAATGACAGTGGACACACTAGGCGAATTTCGACGCCGATTGATTCGGCCGAACGATTCGCCCGAATCATTCGGCTAGTGTGTCCACCGCTTAAGGCGTTAGCTCGCCATGGTGGCACATTATATTGGCTCCCTATGGTGGTTCAATGAGTAAGACGCTGGCTCGCTAACCTGGACGTCCCGAGTTCGATCCCGGTGTGGGTCGAGAAGGTTCATCGGCATTTTCCGGCGTGGTCAATGGTGCAGGACGGATTGTTTGGCAAGGGATAACGTATGGTCCTTCGGATGGGGAGATAAACCGAGGTCCCATGTTCACATTGACGTACACGTAAAAGTGACCATGCCGGTTGGAATTCAATACAAGGAGGGGGAGGCGAATGATTAGCACGTGCGCGTTTCATCATAAGGCCTGCCATCGATTCAACTCGCGTGGTTTCTATTTCCCGGTTGCACGTGACAAGGAGTAGGGTCGCCTGTCCAACCGTGTGCGTTTTCTCCGGGTCCTCCGATTTCCTCCCATATGTTAGTCCCGAAATGACCTAGTTTGTGTCGAGTGGACGTTAAACCCCATTTATCTCTTTCTTTCTCTCATTCGATACTATTGTACACCGTTGTGCTATCTCGGGGCAAAATTTTTCTCTTAGCACACTGTCGGTCCTCAGTCGGAGCAGAAAAGTACAATCTGGTTAAAACACAGATCCTATTTCGTTTCGTTTTTATAGTTCAAAATTTTGTTTTACTTGTCTTTACTAGTAGGCCATCGAAAGTATGAAAAAACGAAACGAAATATAGATCGGTATTTTAATCAGATTGAGAAAGGTAGGACGTTAAACCCCATATCATTTTATTTTTCATGTTATATAATAGAATAAACAGGATAAACGCCTGTGTTTATAAAGTTAATGGCGATGATATAAAGAGAGTCATTATCGCTGAAACTGTTTACGTTTCAGATTAAAAGATTCAGTTAATAATGGTTTTGATGTACCAAGGGTAAATGCACAGATTAAAACTATCTTTAGAATAAACATTTCATACAGATGACACGATAAGAGAGAGGGAAGGGGGGGGGGGAGAGGGGGAGGGGGGGGGGTAACATCCACTCGACACAAACTAGGTCATTTCGGGACTAATATATGTTTCAATTTTATTTCAAGAATTCGTTTGCACATAGGGGTCTTTGGCAGTGGGTGGAAACTGGAGTACCCGGAGAAAACCCACGAGGTTGGACAGGCGACCCTACTTCTTGTCACGTACAACCGGGGAATCGAAACCACGCCAGTCGACTCAATGACAGACTTTATGATACAGCGCGCGCACGATAACCATTCAGCCATCCAACCATCATTTCGGGACTAATATATGTTTCAATTTTATTTCAAGAATTCGTTTGCACATAGGGGTCTTTGGCAGTGGGTGGAAACTGGAGTACCCGGAGAAAACCCACGAGGTTGGACAGGCGACCCTACTTCTTGTCACGTACAACCGGGGAATCGAAACCACACCAGTTGACTCAATGACAGACGCGCTAACCATTCGGCCATTCGAACCCCCAGATGACATGATAAACAACTGTTTTGGCGACTGTCCCAATGTTCAACAAATATTTCAATTGTTGTTCTGGATCACATATAATATTTCATGTGAGGCGTGGGAGTTTGTCGCTGGCTTAATAACCAGGAACTTTCGGGTTATGATTTTTGTCCCACCCGAAAAACTATACGTTTTCCTGTTCCCGAGGACTATTAATAGTTCCCCGTAGTTCTTTTTAATAGTTCCATCGATGTGCACGACAACATAACAATCTTCTTCTTTTTCAGAAAGTTTAGGAATTAATAGAAATAGCCTGCAACAGTTGAATGTTTACAAATTCCATAAAAAGTCACACGGATTTCAAAGAATTGGTCTGCAAAATTGCAAGAATTTCAAAGTGTAAAAATCCGGTCATAAATAATGGATACAATAAGTTGATGTTGCTGATGGTAACTGGAAAGACAACAAGACGACCTGTACCAGGAACATGTTTTAATTTGTTCTCATTAAGATACAAACCTCGGGTAAAGAAATAAACCTGTTGTCATGGGTGAAACACCAAGGGAGGTTACTCTGGTATTACGTCATCGCTAGCGGTCAGCATGCATATTGGATTACAGACGTGTTCAAGACCTCAATGAAATTTAATATCCTTGTAAATCTGGACAACAACTCAGCGTCTTATCTTGTTCACTACAACTGGAGGTATTTACAAACCCATAAATATTTCACCCGGAAGCACGCATGTGCATCGTTTTTATGTCTGTAATGTGTGAAATGACGGATGGTTGGCGATCTGGAAAAGTAATATTCCATGAAAATCTGAAAGTGGTTAAAATTGAACATTAATTCTTGAGAGAGGTATTAAGGGGCGTTTCTGTGTCTGCGTGTATCTACTTAATTCCTTCACCACTGACCGATAGCGAAACGAACGTGCAAGTATCTCCACGACTTATAGTGTACACACGTGAACGGGCGCTTATCAGAATCACAAGTGATAAGGGAAATACCCTGCACAAATTTTCACACATAAATGATTTGTTAACAGAACTGCACGGTCCACGGAAGTGATAAGATTTTAATCGGGTTTTATACATGTTTAACAGCCAAGTAGGCTATATTTCATCTCCTAAAATATGATAGGACGCTAACATTTCTTGTGGGTGTTTTGTAAAATTGTGATTCGCGATTCGCAGGATTTTAATTGGATTTAGCTGAATAATTGATTTAAAATTGTTTCAAACACCATTTCGTTTTTTATATTCAATTTCGCGATTTCATCTGCAACGGAGCAATTTGAGTTTTAACACAAATTTCATTGAGCCTAATATCAAATAGGCGTAGTAGGCGAGCATTTTCGACAACCTGAACGCAAACAATTTAATTTACTTATCACAGTTAACAAGGATACAAAATTATACCCCGGAAACTGGAAAGGAAAATGGCGGTGAAGTGTTTTGTGGTCCTTTCTGTTTTAAACTTGATTCCAATTCTTGGACTTTTACTCATGGTGTCGAGTAGTTCCATCAAATTCCGGGAAAAATGTGAAAAAATACGGATTCCAATTTGTGCCAATATCTATGAAAACAATCTGACAAATTTGCCTAATTTATTTGGAATTAATGGACAAGAAGACATAGAATCGAAAATAATTTACTATTTAACAGTTGTTAATGAACTGAAGTTAAAATATTTCTTATGTTCTTTATATCTGCCGCCATGTTTGTTGTCAACGTCGACATCATTGTTGCTACCATGTCGTTCTACGTGTCATATTGCACGTGAGGCGTCGATACATAGACTCAGTGCACGTGGATTAAGATGGCCGTCTGAGCTGCAATGTCACAATTTTCCAACAGAAAACTGCTTAAACGTGACAGGTAAGTATTTTCTAATTATTTAAATTAATTGTTACAAGACCTGGCCGACAGGTGGTGTATAATTCTAAAACCATCTGGACCCGCGGGAATCGGCAGATCAACCTTTTAGTCCCATATAGGTTAAAGGGGTGCAAACTGGTGCCGATAGCTAGATCAACAAACTGGTTAGAAATGAAATTGAATGAGGTTTAACGTCTGCACCAACCAGTTTTCAAACGATTGGCATACGGCAAGCCGTGTGCTATGAGGGACCGTCTACTCTCAAACTGTCTAGACCCCCTTTTACGTGCTCGCCAACTGTCTAAGCCCCTGTCTAAGGTGGGTCAAAGGGTTTTAAAGTAGCCAAGTCTCTAACTCAGTATCATCCGAAGTCTTCGAAATTGAAAACACGAATTATTTGTCAATTTAAATCAACATTGATGTTGTGATCTTACCAGGAAAAGATCGGCTTCTGATATCCAATATTTAAGACAAAATAGACATTTTACCATAATGCGTTTCAGCGCCATTTGTAACAGGGGACTCGAAGAACGAGGCTAGGCATAAACTACAATTCATGTCAAACGGCGACGCCTTATTCTTATCAGTGTAGACTGGAATAACCAGACGCTAGAGATTGCCATTTGATTGCGACTTCTGGCGTATTTCGACGAACATAACTGATTAGAAATTACAGTAAAAACAGAAACGATTGAATGTAAATCAGTTTATATACATTCATATTACATTATTATATGCGTTGACACCCATTTGTGTCAATATCTAGGTCACAAATATTAGCAACTTAGCTCCTTTAAATAGTTTATGGAGCAGCTACCCAGTAAGTATTGTGAAGATATATTTCATTTCACAAAGAAGAAATTGAAATTGAAATTATTTTTATTCATCCCCCACATAAGTCTTTTCTGTAACTAGGGAGTAGGGATATTAGATAACATCTACAATTAACATACTGAGCACGGACGCGACATTCCGAGCGAATTATCATTCGTATTGAAAGCGCGGAAATTCGCAGATGAAACTGGCCCAACGATTTGACCATGTGTGCTCTTTGACCTCGAACTCTTGATTGGGTAATCGAAATCGTTCGCGCAAACTGTTCCTAAAAATACGCTCTGTGGGCAATTTCCGCGGGTTTCCGTGCGAAAAATAATTCGGTGAGTATAAACGACTTCATTCAAGTAGTAGTTCAGGAATCAAATGCGATCGGGTTCAGTTTTGGTGGATGATTCCCGGGGTTCAAAGGCAATCACGTTTGAACAATCTTTGCAATCGCAATTTCTCATTAATTACATTCATATTGTCAACTTCATAAATTCCCGTCTTCATTAGCCAAGTCGGAGCAGAACAGTAGGACGTTAAACCCCATTCCATTTCATAAATGGCAGTTCATGCAAATCAACATATTTGCCTTATCTGTTTGTTTGTTTTTTAAATCGACAATATTAGTTAATTTCATTGTATATATAGTTCACTCTGATTAAAACACAGATCCTATTTCGTTTCGTTTTTATAGTTTAAAATTTCGTTTTACTTGTATAAAAAAAAACCGAAACGAAATATAGATCTGTATTTTAATCAGATTACGTATATAGTGATATATTAGAGAGAAAGAGATAGATGGGGTTTAACGTCCACTCGACACAAACTAGGTCATTTCGGGACTAACACATGGTTTAATTTTATTACAATAATTCGCTTGCGCGTAGGGGTCTTTAGCAGTGGGAGGAAACCGCAGGACCCAGAGAAAACCCACGAGGTTGGACAGGCGGCCCTACTCCTTGTCACGTACAACGGGGGATCGAAACCACGCTAGTGGATGACATACCTTATGATAAAACGCGCACGCGCCAACCATTCGGCCATCGCGCACCCCACCCCTGACAGAACGGTTACTTTTTGCACTAACTTGGAAAACGACGACGGGTATACAATATGCAATAGTTGTGGTATTGCTGGATATTGTGTACGAGATGCCAATGACATACTGCTATCCACGGGGCCTAGGTTTTCCTTAATCGTTCTTTTTAAAAAAAATTGAATGAAATTGATCCAACCTGGCCAATGGAATCCGAAACCTGTTAATATGCGAGCCAGCGCCTTAATCACTGCGTCTCACACATGGGCTTATATAGCTTTTTTTCGTCGTTTGAAAAAAACCCCAAAATAGTGTATCGAGTATAATTTGTGTATTTATCTCTTTCATTCACATAACCACGGGCATGGGGCTACAAAAACATTCTTCCCTGATCCACATGTGTCCGCCATGTTTTTAGATTCGCATCAAATGATTCAAGATGCTTTTATTTGTAGAAATTCACAGAATAAATAAAATTTCCGTTCGCCTGTCAACGGGGGAACAGAGAACATCTGGAGTAATCGGAGAAAACGTCCGGGTCATGCGTTTGTCTTACAGGTTTAAATGTAGTTGACGATTTAAAGACAATAAAAGACTGTGGTTCGGTTTATGATGCGTTCCACATGGTTTGCGTTTCGGCCTTCTATACGTGGTGGGCTTGATTTTAAATCTTCCCAGATGTGTTTAACACCGTCTGATCCGACGGTCAGGTGTTTTAAAAGAGTTTAATGTTTCGGGGTAGGTCTAGACAAAGAACTTGAAACTGGAACCAATACCACCGCGATTTTCAGAATATCCTGCTTTACTTTCTCATTACAAACATATATTATATTCATTTTGATTAAATACAAATGTTTGTCTTCATTAGCCCAGTAGAGTAGGGCGTTATACCCCATTTCATTTTGTTAAATAACTAATCCGAGTACATATTGTATTAAAACATGAGAAATTTGACATTTAGTGAAAATGACGCTCCAGACCTTTAAGCATACAATTAAATTTTTAAATGCTTTAAAATTTTCACATCTTTTACACAAAATGTAATTTAACATCTAAAGTCCCCCCACCCCACCCATTTCATTTCAAACACAACTTTTTATTGTCATTTATATTTGGGGTTTTCAAAAATGAAATGGGGTTTAACGTCCCACTTCCGACACAATTTAACGGGTTAATGAAGACGGCTATAGCCATTCAGTGTTCTCGTTAGGCTTGTCGCGACTTGGGGCAGAAGGCGTCTAGTCGTTCGGATGGGACGAAAAACCGAGATCCCGGTTGGTGCCGGACATGAAATAAAATGAAACGAGGTTTAACGTCGTACTGTTCTGTTCCTAAACTGGGCTAATAAAGACGGGCATACGCCATACAGTGTGCTATGAGGGAAATTTTGCCCGGGCAGCGGCGCTACGGCCTACTCTTATATCGAATTCCAACTGTCAAGGGCTCTTTTACGTGCACCCCAATGTGTACACGGGACCTCGGTTTTTCGTCCCATCCGAACGACTAGACAGCTGTCCTTGTCAGGCCCTCCGTCCTGCATCACTGACAAGGGGAAACCACGCCGGAACATCTGGATGAACTTTCTCGACCAATGCAGGGATCGAACACCCGACCACCAGGCTAGCGAGCCAGCGTCAGACCCACCTACCCAACGTGATCCCGGTTGTTGCAGGAAGTTAGACATCAAACCATGTAGACCACCTGATGTTACTTTATTAACTAAGGCCAAACCAGCCTAAATTTTTAGTCCTTCTGATCAACAAATAACCTACTCAATTCTTGTGTGCGAGGTTTTGTTAAAATGTCAAAACTGAAACATTTGGAACTAAAAAAAGCTTTCAAGAAAAACAACTAAGTACTTTTTGTTTTTGAATTAGCTTTTTTTTTCCATGAAGGAATTAGAGTAAGACGTTGGCTCGCTAACCTTGCGGACCCGAGTTCGATCGCTGCGTAAACCGATAAAGTTTATCGGGATGTCGCGCGTGGTTCCCTCTTGTCAGTGTTGCACCACGTGCGTGCACTTAAAAGAACCCATGACAGTTTGAATTCTATATAAGAATAGACCAGGGACTTTTTTCTCGAAATCTTAACTAAATTTTAGTGGATACTTCAATTTTGATTGGCTAAGCATTAAAAATCAACCTAATATTATCCAATCAAATTACTAAAATTTGGAATTGATCTTAGTCAAAATTTCGTGAAACAGGCACCAGGGCCGCTGTCGGTACAGCATTGCCCTTATAGCACACTATATGGCGTATGTCCGCCTCCAGTCGGTGCAGAACAGTAGGACGTTAAACACCATTTCACTATGTTCCCAAAAGTACAGAAATTCATTTTGGTGTGGCCTTATACTCATTTGCTCAAAGACATACAGAGTTACCAAGTCAACTCCACGGCCCTTCGTTAGTTTTACTGGCTCTAAATGGGTTTAACATTTCCGTTCTTTATGCACTGTTTTATCTTAACGCGAGTAAAATTCCTCTTTTGATGTTGTTTGTGTTTGTATTCCCGACTACTGATTTAAATGGGTTTATAGCGTACATATATATATAATGCACGTGCCGAGAACCGCACGTGCAGATCATTATCTTGTAATTGCCCATGCATTTATATCTATATATAGTTTTTTTCCGATTAAATATTTCATAAATTACATTATTTTGTGATTGATATACTTAATCTAATATAAAATCATATTAGCATAATATACAGGTGGGAACCAGTGCATAAAATGAGAGAGAGAGAGAGAGAGAGAGAGAGAGAGAGAGATGTATGGCGTGGTTTCGATTCCCCGGCCCAACCTCGTGGGTTTTCTCCTGGTCTTCCGGTTTCCTCCCACTGTTAAAAGACCCCTACGCGCAAGCGAATTGTTCAAATAAAATTGAAACGTGTTAGTCCCGAAATAACCTAGTTTGTGTCGAGTGGACGTTACCCCCCTCTCTCTCTGTGAATATCGGTCATGTTATTGTAAACTGGGGATTTGCACAAAACATAGAATATATATTTTTATAAGAGGTGGATTCTTCCTTTCATGAGTTATCTATAAGAAATGATCATATTATATTACGGTTGTATATTATGAGATAAACCCCGGTTGTATACGTCACACCCTACCCTTCCTCAATAACTAAAATAACAT